CGGGATGGTACTCCGGCATTCAGCCGGACAGAAATGGGCAGTGTGGGCTGTTGGACAGTGACTGCCTCCTCCTGTTAAGGGCTGTGTTAACTGCGGTCATCTGTGCCTGTTGGTTTACAGACTTGTGGACTGGTGTTTGTTGCACTGCGTGTCTTTGTGAACGCTATGTCTATTTGTGGTAACAGGTAGTGCTGGATTCGCCTCTTATTTTCCTGAGAAGAGAGTCTGTGGGATTTGTGTTCCTCTTCCTGTGTGTTCGGTAGAATCCATCTGTGCCTTGAGTTTCTTTAAAGAAGATTTTAAAACTGCCCACTCCTTGTTTTGTGAAAGATCATTGTAGGGCCCAAGTGCTTGAGACAGCACCCCCATTTTCAGGGTGCGTTACCAGAGCTGGCACCTGGGGCAGTGCTGGGCTTGAACCAGACCCTTGATAGGATCCTGACGTGCCAGTCCCCAGGCCAATCCCGCCACTGCACACTGTCATGACACTAAGCAGTCTACTCTTGTGAATGTTTTTAGAATATACATTTTTCCCTCTCAAATTTGTTTGATTTGAAAGGCAGAGCTCCGTTCGACAGGGAGGGAGGCAGAGAGGCAGGTTCACTTGCTGACTGAGGTTGGTGCTGTGGCCTTGCTGGTGCCGGAAGCCCAGAGCTGGGGTCCGGTCTCCCTCCAGGGTGCATGAGCCAGGCCCTGGGGACACGTGTGCTGTGTCCCAGGTGCGTTGGAGCAGCCGGGACACTGACAGCCTCATAGGATGCCTGCGTCTCCAGCATCTTGTGAACTTGCTGCGCCAGACCTGGAAGTAAGCTTCCTGTGACTTAACTCTTGGCGACTGTATCTACTAGCCACAGTTTCTATGTGATGTGATTTATTTTGTCAGTGTTTGATCTGTACTTGGATGTGCATTCTGTTTATAAGTGAAGGGCTCTGTTACTGTCAGACGCAGTTAGTGGTGTTCGAGTCTACATCTGCTGGTTTTCTCATTCTGTAATTATGTGATAAAAGTGTTGACATCTCAGAGTAGTTGTGGATTTGTTAATTTTGGTTCCACTTGTTTTTTGTCTGGTGTTATTATTTTTTTTTAAGATTAATTTATTTTACTTGAAATTCAGAGGCATTGAGAAAGAGGGAGATACAGAGATCTGCTGGTTCCCTCCTCAGATGGCCACGACGGCCAGGGCTGGACTGGCTTGAGGCCAGAAGCTTCTCGTAGGTCTCCCTGTGGGTGCAGGCGCACAAGGCTGTGGGCCCTCTGTCGCCTTCCTAGGCCATTACCTGGAGCAGCGGGGGCTCATGTGGGACGCTGGCAGTGTGGGTAGCTTAGTGGCAAGATTTTATTTACTTTTATTGGGAAGGCAGATATACGGAGAGGAAGAGACAGAGAAAGGTCTTTCCGTTGGTTCAGTCCCTAAGTGGCTGCAACGTCCAGAGCTGAGCTGATCTGAATCCGGGAGCTTGTTGGGGTCTCCCACGTGATTGCAGGTTTCCAAGGCTTCGGGCTGCACTCGACTGCTTTCCCAGGCCACAGGCAGGGAGCTGGGTGGGAAGTGGGGCAGCTGGAACACAAACTGGCACCCATATGGTATCCCAGGTGTGCAAGGCAAGGTTTTAGCTGCTAGGCTGTGGTGTTGGGCCCTTTCTCTGCTCTTAAAGAGGATTTCTTGTGAATGTGTACAGTCGAGTCTTTTGGTAAGAACATCTGTGAGTGTTTACACCATCTCAGTGTTGTTGATGTTGAGTATAAGGGTACCATAGTTCAAACAATCACTGATTTTTTTGGTTTTTGTCTTTTTGTTCCTGTTTCATTTTTGCTAGTTGATTTTGAATGGGCTGATTTTTAGCCCATGCCTACGTTAACTGTTTGGGTGCTGGCTGTCGAGCTTCTGCGGCCAGAGGGGAGCTGTGCTCTAAAACCGCACCCTGCTGCCCACCCAGGCCTCGCCTTGGCTGGTGCGTCTGGTTCCTTTCTTGCAAGGAATGCCTTTCATTCCCTTTGCTAATGTGTAGTGAAGCCTACGTGTGCTGTTCCGTCAGTAGGCCTGGTGCGGTGCTGGGGAAGCCGGGGGCTGACGGCCAGACGGGGGCTGAGAGCTTGTGAGCTTTCTGTCTTCTTCTGGATTTCGTGTTGTCTTTACAGAGCAGTTAAGACATTGCTTAGAGAACAAAGCTGCGAAGCAGTTCGTTCAAGCAGGTGTTTTCCCGCTCGGTTCCCAGGCTGAGTGTGGGGCTTGAGCTGCTGTAGAGGGAGGTTTCCTTGCGTGCGGTAGGTCACCCTCCGTATGTTCCTTTCAAAGAGCAGTTGTGAAGTGTCGCCCGTTTCCAGTAACCCTGGAAGGCAGGAGGCTCCTGTGTTCTCACCAACCGCAGCCTCTGTGCCATCCAGCCCCTGGCCAGCTCAGTGCCCGCCCGGCCTGGGCATGCAGGCTCGCTTTGTGTCTGAGCTCTCTGCTAGTAGGTAGGAGTTGGCGCGGGAACCTGGGGGCTGGGGTCTGCTTTGGCCTTGGCCTTGGCCTTGGGGTGGAGGACGGCCCCCCCTGCTGTGGGCATGGCGGGTGAGTGCAGCAGAAGCTGCCAGGGTAAAAGCTGGAAGGTTGTAACGCAGCACTCTGCCTGCACGCTCTCCTAGAGGGAGCGCTCCGTTCTGAAGAGGTGGGATGACTGGGAGTGGGTGTCAGGTGCCAGGTTGGTGCTGAGAGCCCCTGACTCTGAAAACACTCCTCTCTGGTTTATTTTATAAATTTATTGTGAGGATTAGATGAGTTGATATTGGTTACTATCAGTATTTATTGGCATTGTGATGTAGGGGGTTAATGCCTCCTGCTGTGCAGGCCTGGCTGTCTCACTGCCAGGGTCCCTCCATGCTCAGTTGCCTGGGACAGCAGCGCAGGCTGGCCTGAGTGCAGGCTGGCCCTGCTCCCATGTGGATGACCTAGAAGAAGCTCCTGGGTTCTGACTTCTGCCAGGTTCAGCTCTGGCCTTGGCAGCCATTTGGAAGGAGGGTCCACCAGTGAATGGAGCTTAGTACCAGCTGCTTTGTGGTGTATAAACACCGATTTCCTAATACCTTACAGTCAGTGGGACGTTGCCTAATGCTGGCCTCTTCAGAGGAAGGGCTGCCCAGGGCCGGTGAGGACGGTGGAGGCTGCAGCCAGCACTGAGCTGGTAGCTGGGCGTCTCCACACCCATCTCCGATATCAGGGCGCCAGGTAAAGAGCTCAGGTCCTTGTGGAACGTCAGGCTTGGTACATCCATCTTCTTTCTGCCCGTCAGCACCACCTGTCTCTAGAACTTCTTAATCTTCCAGTTCCAGACAGAAACCCCAAGCCCACGAAGCCCTCATTTTCCGATTTCCCTTCTTCCGGCCTCCAGCTCTACCGTTTGGGAGACTGTTCATGGGAAAAGTGCGTCATGAGACATATGCGTGGATCTCACACTTTTTGGCACAAATTAAACTTCTGGTTCTGTGTTCTGTAGAGTTCTGAAGTGCCCTCAGAATTTCTGCCTTCATGAATTGAACTTCAGAGCAGGGAATTGTTAAGTGTTTGTGTTTCAGGGGGTTGTGACTGGCTAATTTCATTTAGTGTTTGTCTTTGAAATGTGTCAGAAGTTGAGTCATTTTGTGCACACACCGTCGTTTGTTGAGCAGCATGTGGGCACTTGTACCTCTGGTGTTGGACTGTTGTCCGGAAGAGGAATGGCTGGATCGGGCGGCAGTTTGCTTTCGGGGCTTGAGGAACTGTTGGTTTTCATGGCACCCTTGTCACTTCCCTCTTGCCAGCAGTGCTGGAGGTCCAGGCTTCTGTGCACCCTGGCCAAGGCCGACCCTCAGCTGCATTTTCCCTGCGTGGCTGTATCTTGTGCCTCCTCCTTGCCTTGCCCATCCATTGGACTTCTCTCGTGACTAATTCTGATGTATTTCCTTTTTATATCCTTAGTAGATTTTTGCAAATACATTGTATATGTGAATCATTTAGGAATTATATATAATTAAGTGAAAGTGGTAATTTGAATTTGTTGACATTAAAAAAAATCAACTTGGGTTCCAGTGGACTTGGGGTAAGACAGAGCTAGAGGGAATTACTTGGTGCAGGTAGAACTGAGCACGCCCGGACTGGGCGCTTGAGTGAAGGATGTGTGTGTCCGAGGTCACAGCAGGCAGCGCCCCACGGCTAGGCTCTGTTGGGAAGTTCGCCTTGGGCTGTGGACCCAGCGAGTAAGCCACTTCACTGTGAAGCTAGCAGTGAGAGAGCCAACGCTCACCCAGGCACCGTGCTGGCGAGCGTGGGCAGCCTGGGAGGCACTGACATCCCGGGGGGCTGTCGGGTCACACATGGGACAGGCCCCCACCAGGCCTGCACCCTCCAAGGTCTGCTCGGGTACTGAGCACAGTGGGACTTCACACAGAGGCTGTAGGACATGCATTCCTGGTTCACGAGGCCTGGGGCCTGGGCCAGAGCTGTGGGGGGTCACTGCCGGCCAGTGGGGACAGAGTGGACTTTGATATGGATGACCGCTTAGCCACTTGGAAGAGGATAGAGTCAGTTCCAGGTGGGTGAGCATTTGACACTGAGAAAGTCATGCTTATGACCAAATGGTACATTTTCGTCTGATCATATCAAGGTGAAAAGCCAAAAAAAGGACCAAAATTGGTGACAAAAAGTAAAAAACCTCTATTATGACACAATATTTTGTTAAGGGTTGTTAAAAGAAAAATGTGGAAAAGCTGTTCAACATTAAATTTTGAGTTATTGTTAAAATAATAGAAATGTTGAAAAATAGAAAATTGGTTTACTTTTGATTTTTTTTTTTTTTAACTTTTCTTAACAAGACTCTGTTTAAACGTATCTTTACACTTGATCTTAGCCAGAATCCTGTCTCCTTGAAGTGACGGCCGTGAGGGCCGCACTGACGAACACGAGTGCCAGGGCTCTGGTGCTGCTGGCAGGCTGAGCCGGTGCGGTTGATTCCCTTCTAACTGGCATCTCTGTTTGCTTCAGTCAGGTCAGTTCAGTGAAGACATGATCCCCACAGTGGGCTTCAACATGCGGAAGGTCACCAAGGGCAACGTCACCATCAAGGTACGCGAGAGCTTGTGTCCTGTCCGATGGGAGGGTTCATGTGCCCTGGTGCTTCCCTTCCCTCTCCTTCTGGAGCATCTGCCTTCCGTTAATAGTGTCCTATAGGGTCCTAGCCTTGAACGTGCCAGGATCCCGCATGGACGCCAGTTCTGGTCCCGACTGCCCACCCTCCCATCCAGCTCCCTGCCTGTGGCCTGGGAAAGCAGTCGAGGACGGCCCAAAATCTTGGGACCCTTGGGACCGTGCACCTGCGTGGGAGAGCCGAAAGAGGCTCCTGACTCCTGGCTTCGGATCAGTGCAGCTGTGGCCACTTAGGGAGTGAATCAACGAACAGATCTTCCTCTCTGTCTCTTATTCTCTGTAAATCTGGCTTTCCAATAAAAATAAATAAGTTGGGCCATCCTCTGCTGCTTTGCCAGGCCATTAGCAGGGATGGGAAGTGGAGCAGCCAGGACTTGAACAGTGCCCATGTGGGATGTCAGGGCATGGCCCCAAAGATGACGCCTTTGCTTGGGACACACCCATCCCGTGTCTGAATGCCTGGGATTGAGGCCCACCTCTGCTGGTAAGCTCAGGGAACAGTAGGTGGTGCCCACATGCTTGGGTTGCTGCCCTCCATGTGGGTGCCTGAGTACAAATGCCAGCGCCTATCTGAGCTGCTGAGCCTCAGGCTCAGTTTTGGGCACTGGGAGGTTGAGCCAGGGAAAGGAAGATCTTCCTCACTCTCCTTTCATGTTCATGCTGTCTTTGAAATACGCAGACAGGTCTGTCTGTCTGTCTTTCTTTCTTTTCATTTATTTTTAAAATATAGGCTGAATGTATAATGTTGTTGAACATCAGTTTTAAATGATGAATTTGGCCTTAATTATGGGCAGTGTTTTTGCCTTAGTTATTTCTTATTCTTTTGGATCAAATCATTGGGGAGCATTTATGCCTCTGGCCGTGGCCCTGTTGCAGTCACTCTAGTGATGCCCAGTGTGGCACATGACTCCCCGTGCCCGCCTCGGGTGTCGCGGCTGCTCTGAAACCCTCTGGACTCAGCCCTTGATTTAGCCAAGAAGAACACAGGGCCCAAACATGGCACCCACACAGTAGATACAGCAACAGATTCCTGAATTAAAATGGAGTTTTTGGAAGGCAGGGCTGGAGACAGAGACAGGTGTTCCATCCGTCAGCCGTGTCCTCGGGGCGCCACAGGCAGGGCTGGCCGGGCCACAGCCAGGAGCGTCTCCCGGGACTCCCAGGCGCAGGCCCCAACACGTGGGCCGTCCTCTGCTGCTTTGCCAGACACATCACAGGAAGCTCTGTGGGCAGTAGAGCCGCTGGGACATGAACTGGCACCCCAAAATGAGATTTGTCCACTATGCCACAATACCAGCCCTGCAGTAAAGTTGTTATGCAGGGAAAACATCTGTGTAGGAATGTTGGCTCTTTTATTTATACAATTTAGAAAAATTGGACATTGGTGTGTAGTAAATATTATAGATTCTGTGTTCTTTTTGGTGTCCAAATCTGAACACTGTGTTTCTATAAATAGGGATTTATTTATTTATTAAGATTTATTTAATTAATTGATTTATTTTAAAATATGGAACGCTTCATGAATTTGCGAGTCATCGTTGCACAGGGACCATGCTAATCTCTGTATCGTTCCAGTTTTAGTGTATGTGCTGCTGAAGTGAGCACAGAGTTAGAGACGGAAGTGTCCTGTGTTTGCTGGTTCACTCCCCAGATGGCTGTTCTGGCTACAGCGGGCAAGTCTGAAGCTGTGTGCCAGAAGCTTCTTTCGAGTCCCTCACTTGGGTGCAGGTGTTCAAGGCCTCGAGCCATCCTGCATTGCTTTCCCAGGCCACAAGCAGGGAGCTATAAAATGGAGTACACAAAACACAAATGGCACCCATTTGGGATGCTGACACTGCAGGTGGAAGGTGAGTGTGCCACACCAGTGTGTCAGGCCCCTGTAGATAGGTTTTAAAGGTGTAATTTTTTTTTTTCAAAGAAGCAAGTCTTTTCTCACCACTGTGTTCTTTTTAATTTTTATAACATTTATTTATGTTTGTATTGGAAAAGCAGATTTACAAAGAGAAGGAGAAATGGAGAGATCTTCTCTCCCATTGATTCACTCACCAAATGGCTGCAATGGCCGGAGCTGAGCCAATCTGAAACCAGGAGCCAGGAGCTCCAGGTCTCCCCTGCAGGTGCAAGGGCCCAAGACCTTGAGCCACCGTCGACTGCTTTCCCAGGCCACAGGCAGGGAGCTGGAAGGGCAGCGGGGCTGTCAGGACACAACCTGGTGGCCATATGGGATCCTGGTGTGTTCAAGGCAAGGACTTTAGCTGCTAGGCTATGGCTATGGCTCTGGGCGTGTCCTGGGTATAATCTTTAGGACAAGTACTTTTGGTATTACAAACATTGGTTAACAAACGAGAGAGTCCTGCTCATGGGCCAAATCTTCACTGCACAGCAGCTTTAGACTTCGAGGAAATGGGCTAGAAAGGACTTCGGTTTTAGGAGACCACCCTCCCCCAGAAATTCTCAGATGACACATGATTAAGTGTGTGTTGGAGAAGTGCACTGGCTTTGCCACTGAACTGGCTGTGCCTTCCCTGTCCCTTCCGTGACGTGTTCAGATGCCCGTTTAAGCGCTGTCCTTGTCTTGCTTTGCAGATCTGGGACATCGGAGGGCAGCCCCGGTTCCGGAGCATGTGGGAACGCTACTGCAGAGGAGTCAACGCCATCGTGTGAGCTGGCTTGTTGGTGCAGTCTGCTTAGAGAGGGGTCACTCGCGGGCCTTGCGTTGGTCCATTGGTCCCTTGGGCATGCAGCTCTTCCCTGCAGACCTCTCAGTGCAGGTGCAGGAGCTGGCAACGATGCAGTAAGCCCTTGAACGAGTTCTGGCTTTATCTGTGCAGCTGAGAGCTAGCAGACAGAGCTGCTGCTGGGCCGCGTGTCACACGTGTCAGCCTCCCGGGGCAGTCTAGCTCAGTCCACGAGTGCCGTGCTGCTTTACCAGCCAGGTCACTTCAGGCAGCTGGACGTGTGCGGTCCAGCCTGTGCGCCCTGCTGAGCGCCTGCTTGTCTGTTACAGTTACATGATAGACGCTGCAGACCGTGAGAAGATCGAGGCCTCCCGGAATGAGCTCCATAATCTTCTAGACAAACCACAGCTACAAGGAATCCCAGTAAGGATCACGCATTGGTCACTCAGGCTTGGGCAGGGCGTCGGCGCAGGGGGCCCTCGGGCGGGCCTGGGACACCGTGGCTGCACCTGCTTCTGGTGCAGTGTGCATGTACGGAAGGGGTGGGGATCTCTGCTCCGGAAACAAGGACGAGAAAAAGCCTGAACACTTTCAGGGAAAAAAATATGATTTCTTTGGGATCCTTCCTGGTGTTTGGGTGAATCTAGAGATGTGGTTCTGCAGATAAGGAGGGCCGGTCTGCACTGACATGTTCTACATGCCATACTGTCTGTGAACTAGTCACCAGTGTTTGACTGTGCTACAGACGGGGTGCCCAGCCTGGCATCATGGTGAGGAACTGAACAGATACTCCAGTGAAAGGGGCATGGGCCAGTGGGGAGAGAGAGAGATCACACAGGAGTCCAAGTGCAAGGCTGTGAACTCTGCAAGCAAGGAGCTGTGCAGAAGCAGCACAAGAGGGGCTAGGTTCTGGAGCCAGGAGCTGTGGAGGGGCTGGCAGGCCCATGGCCGCCCACTGGCCCGAGAGGCTGGCGGACCCCCGTGGCTGCCCGTTGGCCGGAGGAGCTGGCGGGCTCCGTGGCTGCCTGCTGGCCGGAGGAGCTGGCGGGCTCCGTGGCTGCCTGCTGGCTGAAGGGTCAGGCTGGTGTAGGAGGAGACATGGTCTAATCGGGAGCTCTGCTTGCCATTCAAGGACGGCTGGGGTGCAGGGACAGTGAGGAGGGTGGGGTGAGGAAGCCACTTTATTTCTCCTGGCAAAGTGCAGCACTTTCAATTAGGATGTGATGGTAGACAGGATAGGGAAATGAAAGGATCCAGAAGGGACTGTGGAGCAGAGCTCCCAGGCTGGCTGGCTGGCTGGCTGGTTGGCTGGCTGGTGTGTGTGTGTGTGTGTACACAGTGGTCCCTAGTCCTGCCTTGAGCAGCCGGGGGAGTGTCAAGCTCTCCTTGGAGCTCAGGATTGCCAGAAGGGGCTGAGTGCTGAAGAAGCCAGCTGCTGCTCTGCTCAGTGCCACACAGCCTGCTGAGGCTCCCAGGGTCCACCTGCACACAGCTGGGCCTCTTAAGGACCTGTGGCCATTGGGTTTAAGTTTATCCTATCTTGTCACAGTTGCAAAGGATTGAAAGCTGGTTTCAGTAGAGAGGAATTCACTGAAACAGCATTGAATCTCTGGGAAGGCTCCACATAATCAGGCTTAGAAAGCAGGCTGGTGTGGGAGAACCAGGCACGTGCCCCCTGGCCCCCGGGCACAGCAGCTGAGATGGGAGCTGAGTTGGATGCTGGTCCTGCAGTGTCTCCGTGTGCCCTGTGTCCTTGCTCTCGTGTGCTGCTTGTTCTGCGTTCCAGTACAGTGTGTGTGCTCTACTGGAAAAGGAAGCTGGGAGCATAGGAGAAGCCAGCAAGCCACAGCATGGACAGCTGATCCCAAATAACTGCTGAGCAGTTAGAAATAGCTGGGTAGAGGACATAAGGTGGACGGCAGAGTCTGGGTAGGGAAGCGCAGCCGAGCAGGGGTGCTGAGGTTCGCCTCTTGCTTGCCAGCACCCTGGGTTCTGTGTGGAGTTGAAGTGACAGTCCAGGTGCTTAGGTGGCACTGGACTCCTATAAGTGTATGAGGTGGCCAGTGTGAGCACACGGTGTGTACTGCATCAGGGTGGGTCAGAGTCAAGGATTCGCATGTGGTTGTGGGGTTGTTGGGAAGCTGAGTGTACTCACATGGTGTTATGTGGAGTAGAAAAGCTGTTGTAGCTAGGGAGTGGGGTGGTGCCTGCATGCGCCCAGGTCAGCGTTGGTGCCCACAGGCGTGTCTCCTGGAGCAGTCTCCCTGAGGCCCACACCACCCTGTCCCATCAGTGAGGTGCTGGGAGGTGGACTTGAGGAGGGAGGGACTTGTATGTTCGTGTGACTAGTGGCTAATGTGTGAAAAATGGTTGCCCTGCCTTGGTTGTTTAAAATTTATCTGTATTTTGGAAACAGTTTATTAAGAAATAACAGTATGCAGAACATAAACTGGCTGATGTGAAATAGCAGTTGTCAGTCACCTTGTCCATTGAGGGCGTCCACCTGGAGGGCATTATGTGAACATCAGGCAGGATAATTCAAAAGGTGCCTGAGTGTGGCAGGTGCCAGGCGGGATGCTTCAACAGACACCCGAGTGTGGCACGTGCCAGAGCACACCTGGATGCTGGTGCCTTCGGCCACACTGTATGCATGAACACTCACTGTGTCTTCCTTTTCAAAGGTGCTAGTACTTGGAAACAAGAGAGATCTTCCCAACGCTTTGGATGAGAAACAGCTCATCGAGAAAATGTACGTGTTGAGAATGAGGGGTGCTGTTGGGGCTGAGGGCCCTCTGTCCTGCGGGGTGAGCATTGCACGTTGCTTAGCTGTGAGCAGAGCCTTGTTTCTGGTGAATAAACTTGGTCTGCCGGAGAGGTGGATCCAGTCCTTGTCGCAGTGAGACCATGACAGCAAGTCAGTGAAGTGGCCGTGTTAGGTGTCCCAGCTGTTTGAAGCACATAGTTAACTTTGTCAATTCTGCTACTTGCAGGAATCTGTCTGCTATTCAGGATAGAGAAATCTGCTGCTATTCAATCTCCTGCAAAGAAAAGGACAATATAGGTAAGAAGTGGTTTGGCCGGACCTGGTGCTGCTGCCGTCTGCCATCTGTCGCTCTGTCTCTGCGGGAATGACTCTTGTAGGTCCAGGGAAGAAAGCGTGGCACAGATCAGCACCCTGAAGCTCCTCTACAAATAAGCAAAAGCTGTGAAGTGGTTGGCATAAGCATCTATTGCTTGTGCTTTAAAATAAAAAATACCATTTTTGCATGAATTGTCTTCAGGTGTTCTGAACCCTGACCAATGTGTTGGCACTTCACTGGAAGTACAAGCCAGCTAATCTGCTTGCTGCCTGTTCATTTCTTAGAACTGCAATCAGAAAGTCCCACCAAGCTGGCGACTTACACAGCAGGGACCTCCCTTCCCCGGCTCGGGAGGCTGGCTGAATGGCCGGGTGCCTGTGCAGTGTGTGGGGGTGTCAGTAACTGTCTCGAGATCCCACTGAGTGCCCAGCCCCCAGGATGACCTCATGCTAAGTAGTCCGCTTTCCAGTCGCATTCTGAGGACTTCAGGGAGATGCTCTGCAGTGTAGTATTAGGAGGTGTTTTACCCAGTGCTGGGTGGAAGACCTGCTGAGCCTCACCCTACCTGTGAGAGCGCTGATTTCCATACCTGCAGTTGGTCTGGCTGTCCTAGGGAGGGGGTGCTGGCACCTGGTGGTGAAGCCCTGGGATGCCACTCAGCACGGAGGCAGAGGGCTTGCCTGGGTGGCAGCAGTGGGGTGGCAGGTGCAGGACCTGCCCTGCCTGCGCCACTGTCAGTAGGACTTTGTGCTGCTTAGTAGACCTGTGCGTTTTCCCTATCTCCTGGAAAAGAAAACCCCTGGACACACAGGTGGGCAGCGGGGGAGAGCAGGTGGGCACCTCCGTCAGTATCGGGGCTGACCCTCACAGTGGCTGCATGCTGTGGTGGTGACTGACCTTGGGACTCTAGAACTCTCGGTGGATGAAGGTTACCCATCAAGGAAGCTGACCCACCGACCGGACTGAGAACGGGTAGCCCTCAGTGAGCATGCCCATTTGTTTGGAGCGGAGAACGCGCTGCCAGTCACGTGAATGGATAGACGTCCTGGGTGGTCCTTGTTCAGCCCATATCATGTGCTTTAGTGGCAAGTCTGTGAATATACTAAGTTAATCCAAGAAGCATTTTGCTGCACACTGAAATATATTTGCAGCTTCATGGTGTGGCCAGGAGTACCGTGCTGCCCATACCGAGTGGCCTCGCCGGGGTCGGCTGCGTCATTGCCATGTCGTCTGTGTGTGTTTCACCCACATAATACCGTTTCCTTTTCTCCCTGAATCTAGATATCACACTTCAGTGGCTTATTCAACACTCAAAGTCGAGGAGAAGCTGAAGTGTCTCCGGGAGTCTTCATCCTTCTTGGCTGTCACCCTAGAATTACCGTCTGTTCCTCTGAAGTCCTTCCCAGAATACGGCCCTTCCTGAACCCGAGAAATTGCCTTTTTCAGAGTTTGTTCCTCACGCGCACTGCTGAAGATGCATCTCCCTAACCCTTCATCCAGAACCCGCTAGAGTTGTCAAGATAAAGTCAGCACACACGGGCCTCTTGCACGTCCCAAGACAACGTGTAGAGTTCCTTTCTCTGTTCTTTTTTAAGAAAGAAAAAACCACAGCCACACTGTCAGCCATCTCAAATCAAGTGAACTGCATATTTTGGCTCTGGTCTTGGGGGCCAGATTTTGTATTGGTTTATCAGTTACGGACTGGTGTTTCACTGTGGAACCTGGTAGCCTGGTGGTGGCCCTGACTCAAGGCAGCGTGCAGTCTCCAGAGCTACCCGGAGTTTAGGGAACCTGGCGGCCTGCCTCCCAGGGCTGTGGGAACAGTGCCCGCCTCCCTCACTGCGCGCATGGCGTGGAGCCGGAGCTGCACCCCGCGCAGCAGGGCCGCCGGTCGAGGGTGCGTGCTCACAGCTCTGCCTTCGCCGAGGCGCGGCAGCAGGCGGCACAGGCTGCCCGGTGTCTGCCCACTCCACTCCTTGTTTTCCCCTGGTTCCACACACTTTTTAAAGGGGTTGGGAATTTGAGATTTTCTCAAGAGCTTTCCTGAATCTAGAGCATTCAGCCAATATAATAAAACCTGTTACGAATGTCAGACTCGGTTCACACACCCGTTTGTTCTGTCTCCAGTCATTGGGCCAGTGCCACTGCATGACACTCTGATTATAATCTCTTGGCTTTTTATATCTGGTCATTAAGTTGACTTTCAGCACAGAAGATATTTAACCACAAGTTCTTTTTCTCTTATCAATATAAGGTTTGGCACTCTTTTGTCCAGTGCCACCAGACATCGTGGTTAGTGTGACAACTCTAGAGCTGCCTGCTTAACTGTGTACTGCTGCGCAACGTCCGCTGGCTGGTTAGTAGTGCTACTGAGGGCCCGGCAGCTGCTGCAGGTGCCTGCTCGCCTCTGCGGCACAGAGCTGCACAGGAGCTGAGAGCGGCTGGCGAGTGGCTCCCAGGGCCGCCGCAGTGGGTGTGTTTGGGGACACCTGCTTCCCCATTGCCTCACTGCACGTGACTTGTTCCGTGTGTCCAGCAGCCCTTTGTAGCCTGCATATTGAGCACTCGGAGTGTGGTCAACAGCGAGTTCTTTTAGCAAATCCAGTTTTAGTTTATAGACTACCATGCCTTAACACTGTTCTTTCTGTACAAATACTGCACCGTGTTGCACAAACACTACTTGTTTTTCTCCATTCACGTGTTTTAATGAGTGGAACTGTAGCTCTTCGAGTTCCGGTTCTCTGAAGCACCCTTGGCCGGTGCGCAGATGGTCCTGTGTGTGATGGGGTGGCCAGCTGCGGCCCTGCGGCTCAGCATCGATGGCAGGTACCAGGAACCACTGCGCAGGAGGTGGCAGCTTGCTCGTGCCTACGAGAAGTCGGACTGTGAGGACTGCATAGGATTGTTGAGTGGCCTCTGGCTGACCCTGGATGTGTATGTGTCTGTCCTTTGCTTTTAGTATTTCCAAGATCTCTTAAGAATACTACCGGCCTCTCCCTGTGCATAACCTCTGCATGTGAAAACAGTTACTGAACTCTGTAAATACGTACATTTTGTATTTAGGTGGATGCGGTTTTTGTCTGTTTACTGCTCTTCTCAGCTTTATTCAATAAACTTGCATTTGGAGGGTTGTCCTGTCCATCCTAACGGAAGGTGTGGAGATGAAAAGGGAGTGACCACACAAGGGACACAGACTGTGTGCTGGAATGCAGCCAGCCCAGGCCTTAAAGAGCTGCGTCTGTGGGCTGGCCAAACTAGAAAGAAACTCTTATGGTACCCACCCACAGCATTGATCCTGTGATGAGCGGGGGCACTTGGGTGGGGCCAGTGGAGCAGCTAAATCATGATTTGGTCAACTGAAGTCATTAAAGCAGGTGTTTCTGTTGACTGCAGAAGGGGAGTCTTTTTAAAAAAGATTTATTTATTGGAGAGTCAGATATACAGAGAGGAAGATCTTCCGTCTGATGATTCACTGCCCAAGTGGCCACAGTGGCCAGAGCTGCACCGATCTGAAGCCTGGAGCTTCTCCCAGATCTCCCACGCGGGTGCAGGGTCCCAAGGCCTTGGGCCGTCCTCTACTGCCTTCCCAGGCCACAAGCAGATAGCTGGATGGGAAGTGGGGCTGCTGGGATTAGAACTGGTGCCCATATAGGATCCCGGTGCGTGCAAGGTGAGGACTTTAGCCACTAGGCAAAAATGTAAAAATACATACCAGCTGATCAGACCACAAAAACCCAGTTCATTTTTTGCTAATATGTGTTCCGTGCCCCAAGCTGGCATTTCACTTCATCGCAGCTTCCATGTTGTTCCTTATTGGGGTTCCTGTCTGTTACCCCCTGCACCCTTGCCAGCTCCGTGATGCGAGCGAGCTCTTCCATCCTTTGGACCACCCAGCTGTGTTCTGCTGACTTGGTGCAGTTGTTTAGTCGAGCAGCCCCTGGGGAGCTTTCTCACCACACTCCTGCCAGGGGAGCAATGAGCATGCGCACTTAGCTCGATTCCCTAAGGCTGTGCTTTCAAGAATTGAGGCTTCAAATGAGAGTCCCTTTTGCTCTGTTTCATCAGTTGAGTGCGGTGGGCTTGCAGCTGCTCTAGTGTGGGTGGTTTTCTGGCCAAGGCACTGCTGGTCTTCTCCCGTAGAGGGTTGAGTCATTGTTGCCTCTTGGTGGGTATGGTGGGTGATTGTGGGTTAGAACTGGAGTGGGCACGTCAACCTAGCAGATACCACGTGCCATCCAGGCCTCCTAGATGACACCAGCGTGGGACACTGGCGCGCGTGGTGCAATGGCAGGTCGTGATGGAAGTGTACATGGTCTTCTACCCGGCCGCACAATGCAGCTATTCAGAGACGGTCCCTTGTCCTCAGGCCAGGAACTGCAGTGGAAGGTCATCTGACTTCATTAGCAAGTCCTGTCTTCCTTGCTCTTCCTGTCTTAAAATCCCAGGACAGCTGGCTCCTGGGAAATAGATTGCACAGCGGGGATCAGGAAAGGCCAGGTTGGCCTTGGAATCATAAAGGGATGTTGGAGTTGTCACCGCGGTCCCCTGGGAGTGCTGGCCCTGCATCTGGAGAATGGGCCAGCTGAGGGAGGCACTCAGAGTGACCTCGGCTTCCTTCTAGGTAGGGCCCAGCATGATGGCTTAATGGCTAAATTCTCACCTTGCAAGCACCAGGAGTGCCGCTCCGTGTCCTGGCTGTCCCAGTTCCCATGCAGCTCCCTGCTTGTGGCCTGGGGGACTAGTAGAGGACGGCCTCAAACCTGGGACCCTGCATGCTCATGGGCGCTCCAAAAGCAGCTCTGGCTCCTGGCTTTGGATCGGCTCAGCAATCGCTGTTGTGGCCATTTGGGGAGTGAACCCATAGATGTAAGATCTTCGTCTCTCTCTGAATGTGATCTGCCTTCCCAATAAAAATAAATCTTTTTCAAATAAAGGTGGGTAGGGGGGAAGCCAAAATTGAAAAAAATAGTTTATTGGAAGAATAGAGTTACAGGAGTGACAGATCTTGTATCTGCTGGTTCACCCCTCAAACGGGCAGGGCTGGGCCAAGGTGAAGGCAGGAGCTGGCAGCTTCTTTCTGGTCTCCCACATGGTGCAGGGTCCCAAGGCGCTGGGCCAACCCCTACAGCTTCCCCAGGAACGTTAGTAGGGTGCTGGATGGGAAGTGGAGCAGCTGGGACTGGAACTCGCAGCCATGTCGGGTGCTGGCGTCACTGGTGGCAGCTTTATGCGGCTGTACCACATGGTGGGCTGCTGTGCGTTTTTCAAGAGCACAGGAAACTGTTTATTCTGGTACACCTGGTGGGAAAGCACCTAGTGCCAGAAGGAGGGCGAGTGGTTTTAAAATCAGCTTTGTGGGGCCTGGTGTGGTGGCCTGGTGGCTAAAGTCCTAGCCTTGCACGTCCAGGATTCCATATTGCTTCTCTGTAAATCTGCCTTTCAAATAAAAACGGAAGAGCAAAATAAAAAATCGTGGATGAAACTCTTTCCTGAAGTTTCCTTAGGGTTGGGGGTTTGTCAACTGGAACCACATTCACTCTGGAACGGCTTGTCACTTTAGCTCAACTGAGAAGAGGGGGCTGCGCAGGCTGTGCGTCTGTCGCAAAAGCGCTAACGTGGATCCTGCTGCAGGCATGGGGCCCGGGGCGGGCACCGAGCCACCTGAGACCCAGCTGTCGGTGCTGTAGCTGCACCGGTGGGCAGGGCAGAAGCCCAGAGCCCGCTGAGTCTTGCTGCAAGGAGGTGCCCAAGTTTCCTGTGGCAGTTCCAGGAGGCCACGTGTGCAGGCGTGACGCCAACCAGGACACCTGTGCCCCTTCCCGACATGGCTCTGGCCGCTAAGACTATGTGCTGTGCAGCCACTAAGGCGCACACACCACGTGGGACCTCACGCACACCGTCAGTGCGGGGTCCTGGAGGGGTGCTCCGCAGACCCCTGGCTCCAGCTCCCCATTCCCCTCCCTGCCTGGCCCACCTATCTCTGGACGTTGGGGGACACAGGGAAGCCCAGCCAGTGCAGCCGGAAGGCTTCTGGGGGCCCGGCTTGCTTGTGAACGCCACAGAACAGCCAGCCCTCGGGTGGGCCTGGGCTCCCTGCCCGCCGTGTCCCTCGTGCCCGGGGGTGGACCAGGTGCGCAGGGGGCACTTCCAGACGCTCCACGGCTCAGCACATCACCTAAGCCACCGAGTCCTCCTGAAGCTCAGGGTCCCGGACGCAGGTGCACGGGGTGGGGCAGGGGACGGGCGCGACCCCCACCGGGTCGGGCAGGCCCCCCACCGGGTCGGGCAGGCCCCGGGGACAGGGGCCGGCCCGCGTGGCCGCACGTGACCCTCGGGGTGGAAGCGGCTCCTCCTGGTCCCGGCCGGCGCTCTCAAGGCCCACCCCGCCCGCGGCGACCTCGTCCTGACCCTCCAGGGACACCGGGCCACGTCTCCCCGCGGCGGGCCGCGCTCCCATTGGCTGCAAGTTAGCTCGTCCGGGCCCGAGCCACCCGGGCTCGCCACGCCAGCCGGCCGCTCGGCGCTCGGCCCGCCCAGGGGGCGGGGTCTGCGGGGGCGGGGCCAGGTCTGGGGGCGGAGCGTGGAGACCCGACCACCGGGATAGGGCGGGGTCCGCGGAGGGGCGGGGCCAGGCCTGGGGGAGGAGCCGGGCTGCGACTCGACTACCGGGAAAGGGCAAGGCGGGGCCTTGCCTGTGGGCGGGGCGCAAGGCGGGGCGGGGCCAGGCCTGTGGGCGGGGCGTGACCCGGGGCGGAGCAGGCCCTGCGACCCTACTACCGGGATGGGGCGGGGCCTGTGGGCGGGGCGAGGCCAGGGGAGGAGCCGGGCCTGCGACCCGACTACCGGGATGGGGCGGGGCCTGAGGGGCGGGGCCCGGCCTAGGCGGGGCCTGTGTGATTGGCGGGGCGGAGTGGCTGGCGCCGCCGCCCGGCTCCCGCGGCCTATGGCGCAGCAGGCAGCCCGGGCCGCGCCCCGCCAATCCCGCCCCGGCCTACGGCGCGCGTCCGGGCCGGCCGGGCCCGCGGGGCTGGGGGGCGGGGGACAATGGGCAGTTCCTGGTACGTCACCGGGAAGTTCCTTAAAGGGGCCGCGCGCGGGGCGCGGGCTGGCGGGCGGCGGCGGTGGCGGCGGGCGGCGGGCGGCGGCCCCGCGCTGAGATAATGCCCGCGGGGCCCGCGGCAGCATGCAGTGGCGAGCGCTCGTGCTGGGGCTGCTGCTGCTGCGGCTCGGCCTGCACGCCGCGCTCTGGCTCGTGTGCGGCCTGGGGCCCAGCCTGGGCTCGTACCCGCGCCCCCCGCGCCCCGGCGGCCCCGGCGGCCCCGGCTCCGCGCGGCCCGGGCCTGCGGGCGCGCCGTCGGGGCCCGCGCGCGGCGTGTGTGGCGCGGCGCCCTGGGGCCGCGGCGGGCCCGACGAGTACGAGCGGCGCTACAGCCGCGCCTTCCCGCCGCAGCTGCGGGCCCGCATGCGCGACCTGGCGCGGGGCATGTTCGTCTTCGGCTACGACAACTACATGGCGCACGCCTTCCCGCAGGACGAGCTCAACCCCATCCACTGCCGCGGCCGCGGCCCGGACCGCGGGGACCCGTGAGTGCGGGGCGGGCCCGGGGCGCTGCCGTCAAGTCGGTCAGGTGTGGACGAGGCCCGGGGACGCCCCGGCGGAGGGCTCGCTCTCCGGGCCTGACCCCCGATGTCCACGCGAGGGCTCGCTTCCCGGGCCTGACCCCCGATGTCCACGCGAGGGCTCGCTCTCCGGGCCTGACCCCCGATGTCCACGTGAGGGCTCGCTCTCCAAGGCCTGACCCCCGATGTCCACGCGAGGGCTCGCTCTCCGGGCCTGACCCCCGATGTCCACGTGAGGGCTCGCTCTCCGGGCCTGACCCCCGATGTCCACGCGAGGGCTCGCCCTCCGGGCCTGATCCCCGATGTCCAGGTGGAGGGCTCGCTCTCCGGGCCTGACCCCCGATGTCCACGCGAGGGCTCGCTCTCCAAGGCCTGACCCCCGATGTCCACGCGAGGGCTCGCTCTCCAAGGCCTGACCCCCGATGTCCACGCGAGGGCTCGCTTCCCGGGCATGACCGTTGCGCAGCTGTGGCAGGGGGAGGCAGTTGTTGACCGCACTCCCGTGCCGTTCCTTTTTGAAGAATTCACGGATCTTCCACCCGCTGGCCCCCCGCCCCCCAACCCCAGGAGGTCACAACGGCCAAGGCTGAGCCTGGGGGGAGCCAGGAGCCTGGAAGCTCTTCCAGGTCTCGCGAGTGGGTGCGGGGGCCAGGAGATTCCTTCCACCTTCCTCTGCTTTCCCTGGGACCTTAGCAGGCAGCTGGATTGGAAATGGAGCAGCCAGGCCTCAAACCTGTACCCGTATGGGATGCTGGCTCTACCTTCTGTCCCACGGCCCCCGCCCCCTCCTGCCATCAGAAGCAGCCCTGAGAACCTGGGAGCAGGTGGGGACCCCGTCTGTTTCGGGGTGGAGGTGCAGGGCTTAGTACTGGAGGTCTGTGTACGTGTGTGGTGGGCTGGCACGCTGGGCTGCCCCGGGCCCGGCCACTCGGCCTGCAGAGCTGGGCCTCTATGCTCCCTGTTTCTGGACACGTCAGGGCTCCGCTCTGTTCTGTGGCTCGCTGTCCATATCCCACAAGTCAGCTTCTGTGGGGGGTGGACTGAGCAGGGAGCTGGGCTCACGGTCGCTGGTGGTCTGGGGCGCTGGTGGTCTGGGGCGTTCCCAAACAGGCCTCAGACACAGCAGGCCCCTTACCTTGTGGCAGGAGGCTGTGCAGATGCTTCCTGCCCCGTCCCGGTCCTGGTTGCTGTGGTGCAGGCGGACATGGCGTCTGTAACCCAGGACACAGACTGTTGCCAGCCCTGGGACGTGTGACCGTTCTTGATTTCCCAGGGGGACCCACCACAGACCGAGCCGCTCTGTCACGTGCTGGCATGCAAGGACTTGCACTCCGTGTCCCTCCTGGGATGCAGGGAGGGCTGCTGATGGCCCTGGGCTGTGTGCAGCTGCCCATTTCCTAGCATGTGGGTTTGTACTTGTTGGCTTCTTAGTCAACCATTTCCTGCCGCAGGCCAGCATTTCCTGTGTTCGAAGGTAGTGGTGGGAAGAGCTAGTAGTTGGTGTTCTACGGGCCAGTGGAGGACTTGAGCTTTGTAACAGAAAGTCCAGTTCTGGCCCTGAAGCCTCTCCGAGCTGGGCCAGCCCCGCTGTCCTGCCTGCCTCGTGGGCACAGTGGGTCACGATCGCCTTCTGCTGCCCAGGAGGCTTTAGGGGAGCTCCCACCTGGCTTCTCACCCTGGAGGCGGGCACCCCTGTCCTTGGGCGTTGCACCAGGAGGGCAGCAGTGGGAAGCAGGGCAGCTGGCACCACCTGGACACAGCCCCCACCCCCGCTTCATTTTCTGTCAGAAAGTGAGACTGGCAGGTGTGTGACGGAGAACTGAAAGTGTTCTATGAGTGTCAGTCTGGCTTTGCAGGCGACACTTCAGTTCTTAAGACCCTGGCTGGTGGTAGCAGTTTTGGTGGCCGCCTGGGCCCTGCATGAAGTCCCGGAGCGACAGGGAGCTGGGCGGTGCTGCTGGTGGAGAGCGAGTTGCCCGGTGGTGGCCGCTGAGGCAGGCCCCATCTTTTTCTGCCGAGGGTGCCTGTGGCAGCCTGCTCCTTGTCCGGGCACTGGGCCTTGTGGTTCAATGTTTAAACCCAATGGAATGCTCACGAGTAGGCGGAGTTGAGCAAGAGTACTTCCTGTGACCTTTGACCCCTACCACCCACCTTGGGTCCTTAGTCTGACTCCATAGCGGCTGCTCCGGGTGGGGTGGGGCGGGGCAGTGTCTTCTGGTCTTCTAGATTGGTCTGGAAGGAGTCCCTGCTGTGTGGGTTGCCCAGTTTGTAGGGAGGGAGGTAGCCCTGGCTGGCACACAGCCCCATCCCTGTAGTTGTTTACCACCTGCACACACCCTGCAGACTCTGCTGCCGGGCCTCCAAGTCGACAGGGCACCTGCAGTTCAGATGAGAGCAGGTGCTGAGCTTGGCTTTCTGTGTCAGAGGAAAAAGGCCCGCGATGGGGGATCGGGGAGGAGCTTGTCTCCAGCCGGGTCCTGGCCTCGTTTCCTTGGGCTGTTTTTGGGGTTGGTGGTTCTGTAGATTGTTCCTTTCTAGCACTTGCAAAGTGCCTAGAGCCAGCTTTGTGGGTGAGGTGACCTGCCTCCTATGAAACCCATCTCACCTGGGGCATTGGTTCTAGTCCTGGCTGCTCCACTTCCCACCTGGCTCTGTGTTGGTACGCCTGGGAAGGCAGTGCATAATGGCCCAGCTTGCTGGACCTGTGCCACCCAGAGTTCTCAGCTCCTGTGTGCGGCCTGGCCAGGCCTGGCTGTGGCCACTGCAGCCCTCTGGGGAGTGAGTCTGTGTGTGGACACTGCTCCATTGTGGCCTCTGTCTTTACGATGCGTGTGTTCAAACAGGGGAAGTTGCTGAGTTCATTTCAGTTTCCCTTCTTTTTCAGCTCGAATCTGAACATCAACGATGTGCTGGGGAACTACTCGCTGACGCTGGTGGACGCCCTAGATACCCTCGCAGTGAGTGTCCAGGATTCTCAGTTCACACAGTCATGGGGGGTAGGGGCTCATGGGTCGCCTGTCGCCCAGGGTCCTGGGAGCATCACCCGTGTTTGTTGGTGACTGCGGTGGGAAGAGTGGAGACGTGTGGGGGGCCCTATCAGGGAGCAAGGTATGACTCTCCCTGGTGCCCACAGGGAGTCCAGGGCTGTCCCAGGAATAAAGGACAGAGGCCCCCAGCCACTACCAGTCATGTGCATGCGGTCTCTGAGTTGGAGTGGGAACTCCCACGCCAACCGCGCATTGGCTGTTAGAGTGATGCGGCTGCAGTGCCTCGCCTTGTGGTTCCCCTTGGTGACGGGGTTCCCCAGAGCTTGGCTGGGGTGCAGCCACCTGGTGGACGTGCACTTACTCTTCGTTTGGGAGGGCGCGTGGCCTGGGGCACTGCGTGTCCAGGCAGCACCGTCCACGCTCTGCACAAAGGTTCTGAACCTCTTTGCTGCTGGCCAGCCCGGCAGACCTGTGCCACGTAGAACCTTGCTCTGCGATGCTGGGCTCACTGATGGGCTCTGTGGTTTCTGGGTGTCCTGCAGAGGAGGTCTTGGCTGCACCACATGTGTGTTGGGTGAGCGTCGGGCAGGTGCTGGGGTGTAGACCACTGCCAGGCAAGGCTACAGTGACAGAACATCTGCCCAGCGCCTCCCGTGTTGTGGTTGTGGCTGCTTTGGGTGTCTACGTGATTCACAAAGATGTGCCCGGACGCATGTGGGCAGCCTGATGGGCATGGGCGCTTGTTGGCCGTGAGAACCGCCTACAGGTTGGCTCGCAAGCCTCACCTTTGGCCTGGTGCAGCTCCACCTTCCCAGCCAGCTGCTCTTGCCGCCTGAGTCACCTGCCTGCCTTGTACCGCCTGGGACATGGTGAAGCGCAGATGTGTGTGTGTGTGTGTGTGTAGGATTCATGTCCGTGTTGCCCGTGTCTCTGGGTTTGGTTCCCAGCACGTGTTCTGCTAGAGAAGGGCCCAGTGCCCATCCACCCAGGGAATCCTGCCCTTTCCTGAACAGGAGGACAGGATGGGCGTTGGATGGTGCTGAACGGAGTGCCCTTTGTCTCCCACACCCCCAGAGGGAGCCCTCACCATCCTCGGCCTGCCCTCCGCTTGTTGGGGCCATGGCACCCGTGCCAGGTCCTGCTGGAGGCAAGTGAGTGCCGTAGTGGGCAGCTCCTGCCTGTGGATCTTGCTGTTGCGGATCGGCCCATGGCCGTCTTCGGGCTGGCCCCACAGGTGTTCCTGGGTCCAGCTTTGTTTTGTCTCTGGCTACCGTCATGACAGATGTGGACAGGCTGGCTGTGCCGGCGTGGGAGAGCCGCCCACTCCTGACAGCCGCAGGCAACCTGTGGTGCTGTTGCATCATCGGAGTCCAAGAAGGAGGAAGTGAGAGAGAAGAAAGGGCTGTGTCTGTTCTCTGGGTACAGCAGTGTGTGGCTGGGAGAGGGAGATCAGGTGCCCCCAAAAGGCCTCATGTCTGCCCTGTGGCTGTCTCCCCGACTTGAGGGTGAGATGGGGTGATGTGTGTGTGTGTGTGAGAGAGAGAGAGAGAGAGAGATGTCATACAAGTCCCGGGCAGTTTCAAATGCAGAGAAAGCAGGTTGTTCAGAAAACATGAGGCCCCATTTGTACCTCAGAGGGAGGAGGGTAGCTTAGTGCGCCAGCATGTCCGCACCCCCCACGAGACCCCAGGAGACCCCAGGACAGTTGGCTTGTGCGTGGGGGAAAGGTGAGGATGACCACGATGACCACACCTACTTAGGGATCATAGCCCTGGCCCTGCTTCCTGACACTGAGCTGCCTGTTCGTGCTGTTTGTGGGTGTGAAGTATCATGGTTCTGAGATGACTTCCTCAAGGCAGAGGGACTCGTGTTCTTGTTGCTTCTGTTTTGTGGTTCCTGGATCCCTTGTCACGCGGGTGGGCTGTGGAGTGGGGAGGGAGGCGCCTCTGGCCGTCCTGGCAGTGACTTCCCATGTGGCCTTCAGGAGACCAGAGTCCGAGTTGGAGGAAACAGCTGTTGCCCGCAGTGTCCCACCACGGCTGGCGGTAGAGGGTCCTGGGCGGCTGGGGACTTCCTCTCCCGCCCCCGGCTGCTCTGAGGTCCCCGTTCCTCTTCTGCAGATAATGGGGAACACGTCCGAGTTCCAGAAGGCAGTGAGGTTGGTCATCGACACTGTGTCCTTTGACAAAGACTCCACCGTCCAGGTCTTCGAGGCCACCATAAGGTAGAGCGGCTGGGTTGTGGGCTGAGGGCTCCTTGGTTCGAGGCTGCCCACCCCAGTGCATTTCTGAGGAAGGCGATATTCCTGTCTGCCCAGCATGGCCCACACGGTCCACGGGTGCAGTCTGACCCTGGCGTCCACTTCCGGCCCCCTCTCTGTCCTGGTGGCCTATCCCACACGTGTGCCCATGTGCCCCTCTGGCTTCTTTCTAGCTCTTCCACCGTCAGTCAGAGGGAAGTCGGGACGTTGGTTCACAGTGCTTGAGGGGCATGGAGACCCCAGGACAGTTGGCTTGTGCGTGGGGGAAAGGTGGGGATGACCTCACCAGCTGTGCCCTTCATGGGGCCTGGGATGGGGGTCCTGCTCCCCCTTGCAGCCCCAGCGGTGGAGTTGCCCGTGATTGGGTCGGCCCCCGAGTGTGGTCCCCTGAGCCCCCGGGGACAAGCAGTGTCTCCGGCGGTGCCAGCTACACTCTGCCTCCTCCTCGTGTGTATCCTGCCTCAGGGTCCTGGGCAGCCTCCTCTCTGCTCACAGAATCATAACAGACTCCAAGCAACCCTTTGGGGACATGACGATCAAGGACTATGACAACGAGCTGCTGCACATGGCGCACGACCTGGCCGTGCGGCTGCTGCCTGCTTTCGAGAACACCAAGACGGGGATTCCGTACCCACGGGTAGGTGCCGGGCACCCCGTCCTGTGCTGCCTCACTTCCTGGGGAAGTTCAGTGTGCTCTGGTTAATCCGCTGTGTGCTGGGCGGACGGCAGCTTTCCTGGCATCCTGCCCTGCTCCGGAACTGGGGCTGGTGTCCGTCACTGCATGGTGCACAGCTCCGCACTGTGGGGCTGTGTGGCCGCTGTTCTTGTCTGCAGCCGGGCCTGTGTGCTGGGAGGGCTCTCGTGGCCTGCGCTGCCTGGCAGGCTAAATGTTGACTCAACACACGAGGCTGCACTCCACGGCAGCTGATGGGGAGGGAATCGAGCCAGCCTTACGGGAACAACCCGGAGTCCACGTTGGCTGAGCCCCCTTGGGACTGCTCAGTGGTTCTGTGGCTCACTCCTGTCTCCTGTCCCATGTCCTGATGGCCTGGCACCATGGGGACTTGCTGTGGCATGGTTGGGTGACCTGGCGTGGTTGGGTGGCAGGGAGCCCTGGGTCCCTGCGCCTTGCACCCCGTGGCTCCCGGCATTGAACCCTCGTCTCTTGCACTGCAGGTGAACCTGAAGACAGGCGTTCCTCCTGACAGCAACAACGAGACGTGCACGGCAGGAGCCGGCTCTCTCCTGGTGGAGTTTGGGATTCTGAGCCGGCTGCTGGGGGATTCCACGTTTGAGTGGGTGGCCCGGCGTGCGGTGAAGGCCCTGTGGAGTCTCCGCAGCCACGACACAGGACTGCTAGGTGTGTGGGGCTGGGGTCGGTGGGACTGCCCTGGGCTCCTCCCCGGGGTGCACACCCTGGAAATGCGGCCCGAGAGGCTGTGGAGACTGCCGCTTCCAGGGGCAAGGTGAGAAAGGTGTGGGAAAGGTGCAGCACAGAGAGATGTCCCGTCCCCAGATGGCCACAACGGCCAGGACTGGGCCAGGTAGGAGCCAGGAGCCTGGAACTCTCAACTTGGTTTCCCATGTGGGTGCCAGAGACCAGGTACTTAAGCCATTGCTCACAGCACCGGTGCCCAGGCTGAACTCCGATGAGAAGGCATTGTTTTGTGGCTCCAGAGTCTGTTTGCTGGGCCTGGCTGAGTGCCCCCCGTCGACGGGATGTTTTCAGAACCACCTCTGGGGCCAGCCTCCATGTCCAATTGTGAGACCGTCCTTTCTTGTTGGGGGTTTTTGTAGGAGCCATCTGTCATTTGAAAAACCGGGTGTGTGGGGCGGGCTGGCCCCTGAGGGGGGTTTTTCCCCAGCCTCCCCAGGATGGATGCTCAGCCTGTCTTTGGAAGTGGTTGTGGACATGGGACACGTGTTGTCGGAAGTGGCTCATCCATGCCGTCAGGGTTCACGCTCAGTGGTCGGCATGTGATTGACGGCGTGTCTGTGGTATGCTGTGTTGTCAGAGATGTGTTTACTTCTAGTGCCAAGAGGCCGTCAAAAAAGTTGTGCTGAAATTCTGCGCCAATCTGCCCTATTGACCAGCAGTGCAAATAGAGACAAGGCTTAAGTTGTCACGTACCTCTGAACAGTGGCCAGTGTCACTGCCACCCGCTTAGCTTTCTGGCCGTCGTTGTGTCCTGGTGTGTTTCCGTGTGAAATCTGCATGGACACACGTGTGTGCATCCTGTGTCACACACGTCACTCGTGACACAAGCCCTGGGAGTGACAGTGCTGTGGCAGGGATGTGTGGACCAGAGCTGCTGGGGCTCTGCCTTGGAGTCAGCGCTGACCCCGTGTTGGGGCCGTGACGGGCTGTGCGCTGGCTGGTGGAAAGGAGGCGGGTGTAGGGTCAGGCCCCTCCTCCTCCTATTTGCGGGGTACGAGCATGCGGGGGAGTGGCAAGGGCAGCAGGCCTGGCCAGGGCCTGAAGGACTCGTTTCTTTCCGCAGGCAACGTGGTGAACATCCAGACGGGCCACTGGGTGGGGAAGCAGAGCGGCCTGGGTGCCGGGCTCGACTCCTTTTACGAGTACCTGCTCAAGTCCTACATCCTCTTCGGGGAGAAAGAAGACCTGGACATGTTCACCGCTGCCTACCGCAGCATCCAGAGCTACATGCGCCGGGGGTGAGCCCACTGTGCCCGGCGGTGCCCGGCACCCAGGGGGAGGCACGCTCTTCCTTGGCTGGCTGTGGGGCTCAGCTCCCAGACAAGAGGCCTCTTTCTAGGTGCTGGTGGCAGCTGGGTTCTCCCAAGGAGTGATTGAGCAGGTCCTCAGCGTTTCTGTGGCCTCTCCTGCGGGGCCCCCAGGCTGGCCCCGACCACGGAGGGGTGACTGCTGCGAGGGAGAGGTCCTGGGATTTCCGTGCAGCCTCGCCTCCCCATGGGCTATCCTGGCTGGTGGAGGGGTGTCCTGCCTCTGACTTACTGTCTGCAGAGATGCCAGGCTTGGTTTTGGTGCCCGGCAACAGATGTCAGGTGCTTACCCTGCATTGTTGGCATTCCCCAGCCTTGCATCCTGGCAGGCACTGGGGAAGCCCCTTCCCCACCAACAAGTGTGGCCTGCTGTGATCATCACTCAGTGCTGGAGTGCCTGCTCAGGCGCTTCCCTAGTACCTGCTTCTGTGTTGGTTAAGGGGGAAGTGTGTGTGCCCGAGTTTATATCAAGGCACCTTTGGTGGCCTTTGGCTGCGTTTGTCTGTCAGTGCCCCAGGCTGAGCTGAGCCCTGGGCCCAGGGTCTTGCCTGCTGCTCTCCCCATCTGGTGCTAGGGCCCTGCTGGGTTAGAGTTCCTGCCACGGCCACCACCTTGCCATGTTCTGTGAGCTCCTTCTGTGTGCAGTGTGTCCTAGGAAAGGCCTGGAGACCCTGGTGCACTGCACAGGCCAGGCCAAGAGCTGGGCTCTGCAGCATGTGCCCCTCCTGCTGGCACCTGAGCGAGGTGCCAGGTTGCTCCTCACACCACACTGCTTGGTTTGCAGGCGGGAAGCCTGCAATGAGGGAGAGGGCGACCCACCGTTGTATGTCAATGTGAACATGTTCAGTGGGCAGCTCATGAACACCTGGATCGACTCTCTGCAGGCCTTCTTCCCTGGGCTGCAGGTACGGAGCTGCTCGGGCTCTGGGAGGCCTGCAGTGCGGCAAGCCTCGGTCCTGGGTTGAGTGACTGCGAGCCCTGTGGCAGGGGGTGGTCCTGGGAGGCAGGTCTCCGAGCTGTGGGCCCCACTGGTTGAACTGTGGAGGTGAGTCTGTCTGTGCCTGGTTGTTGGTGGTGTGCCGGGAGTAGGGGGTTCCCTCCGGGAGGTTGGTGGTATCCCCTCTGCGCCGTGGGTGGGCGTCTCAGGCTCCTGCCTTGTGTCGCCGGCCAGGTCCTGATCGGGGATGTGGAGGACGCCATCTGCCTGCATGCCTTCTACTATGCCATCTGGAAGCGCTACGGGGCCCTCCCCGAGAGGTACAACTGGCAGCTGCAGGCCCCCGACGTGCTCTTCTACCCGCTGCGGCCGGAGCTCGTGGAGTCCACCTATCTCCTGTACCAGGTACCGTGGGGGCGTGCCGGATGGGAGTGCCATCCTGGTAGCGTCCACTCGTGTTTCCTGGACTCTTGGTCTGTGTTCTCGTTTGTGGCTGCCATCATTCACGATTCCACAGGGCAGAGATGGCTTCTGTAGGCAGACGTTTTCTCTTCAATTCTGTTTATTTTCCTTTTATTCAGATAGCAGAGTTGAATTGATATCATCCATCTGTCGGTTCACTCCCCAAACACCTGCAATAGCCAGGGCTTGGCCAAGCTGAAACCAGCACTCTAGAACCCCATCCCTGTGTACCTTGTGGGAGGCGGGGACCAAGTTCTTTTTTTGTTTTTAAAGGCAAGGTTGCAGAGAGACAGATCTTCCATCCACTGGTTCAGATGGCCGCAGTGGCTGGGGCTAGGCCAGGCTGGAGCCAGGAGCCAGGAGCTTCTTCCAGCTGTCTTATATGGGCACAGGGACCCAAGCACTTGGGCCGTCCTCTGCTGCTTTCCCAGGCCATCAAGAGAGCAGACTAGCTGGAGGTGGAGCAGCCAGCATTCGAATGGACCACATGGGATGCTGGCACTGTGGGTGGCAGCTTTATTTGCTGTGCTACAGTGCCAGCCCCAAGGGACCCAAATTCATGACCTGCTGCCTCCCAGTGTGCATCAGCTGGATCAGAAGCAGAGAGTAGGACTTGAACCAGCGCACTCGAGGGCGGGATGCTGGTGCCAAGTGCCTGCCCCTCAAGTGGGTTTTTACTCTCCTTTGCAAGGACTGACTGTATTTCCTCTTTACTCTGGAGGAAGGTTTGTGTTTACTGTGTTTCAAATCATTTGACCAGATAGCCTGCTTTTGTTTTTAACTTCTGTGTCAATGTCCTGTGCAAGTCCTTTTCCTGGGCCGCTGTCCATGCCTGTCTTCGCCCACACGGGAGCCAGGGAGCCAGGGAGGCTCCAGGCTGTTCTGGCGGCCGGGGTGAGAGTCTGCAGCCCCCTGGTGCAGAGGGCGCCCTGAGCGCGGGTGTCTCAGGGCTGGAGCAGAGTGGAGGCCTCCCACACTTGCTCTTGGCCTTTCCTCCCTGGCCTTTCCTCCCTGTGCCGTGAGTGGGATGGGGCCAGGGCTTGCTCCCCTGTGGGTCTGAGTTTCTGGAGAGTTCTGAGGCAGGACAGTCCCTGGAGTTATCCTCGGGCGTGGGACTGTCCAGTGGGCCTTGCTTTGTGTCTGCCAGGTGGGGTTGGTCAGGTGAGCTGTAGCAGGTGTGGTTCTGCCCTGGAGCAGGGGGCCCGCGCCAGCTGACAGGAAGGAAACGGGTCATAGGTTTGTTGTGATGGGCTTGGCTGCTGGCGACCTTGTATGTGGTGGGGAATCAGCCTGTGAGCAGCGCAGGGTGTGCCAGTGCCTCGTCTCCCGCCCTAACAGGCTCATGTTCTCTGTCTCAGGCAACCAAGAACCCCTTCTACCTCCACGTGGGAATGGACATCCTGCAGAGTCTGGAAAAGCACACCAAAGTCAAGTGAGTTCCCCGTGTTGCTCTCTGCCTGCTGCGCATGCCTCATTCATGGCAGGTTGCCATGGTGATGTTGGCTGCTTGCATCGTGATGGCTGGAGACTGTGCTCGTGGCTCTGCAGGAATACCGCTTGCCTCTCCTTGTGGGTGTCACTGGCATTTTATCCATATGGACACTGGGTAGGGTAGGGTCCCGGTTGCTCCGCTTCCAGGGCAGCTCCTTGCTATTGTACATGGGGGAAAGCAGCAGAAGATGGCTCAAATGCCTGAGCCCTCACTACCCAGGAGGGAGACCCAGGTGACACTCCAGGCTCCTGGCTTTGGCCTGTGGTAGCTCCGTCGTTGCTGCCACGTGGGGATGAGCCAGCAGGTGAAAGATCTTTCTGTCTCTGTTACTACTCTGACTTTGAGACAAAATAAATCTTGAAATGAAAACAAAGCAAAAACTTTAAACCAGGCTTTATGCAGTTTTCTTTAAAGTTCATTTCTTTTTTTTTTTAAAGATTTATTTTTATTATTATTTTTTTATTGGAAAGGCGGATATACAGAGAGGAGAGACAGAGAGGAAGATTTTCCGTCGGATGATTCACTCCCCAAGTGAGCGCAACGGGCCGATACTATGCCGATCCGAAGCCAGGAGCCTCTTCCGGGTCTCCCATGCGGGTGCAGGGTCCCAAAGCTTTGGGCCGTCCTTGACTGCTTTCCCAGGCCACAGGCAGGGAGCTGGAAGGGAAGCGGGGCTGCCGGGATAAGAACCGGCGCCCATATGGGATCCCGGGCGTGCAAGGCGAGGACCTTTAACCACTTGCGCCACCGCGCCGGGCCCAAAGTTCATTTCTTTTAAAGGTAGAGTTAGAGGGAGCGAGATCATCTGTCTTGTTCTCTTCCCATGCCTTTGCCATGTAGAGCTGGGCCAGGCCGAAGCCAGGAGCCAGGAACGTCATCTGGGTCTCACATGGCTGCAGGGGCCCAAGTACTAGGGCCCTCTTACTAGCAGGGAGTTTGGACTGGCACTCCTGTGGGATGCTGGCATTACAGGCAGCAGTTTAACTATCTGCCACAGCATTGGGCCCTGTCCTTATAATAAATTTCTTGGCAGTTACCTTCTTGGTTTCACTACTATTTGGGAAAAAGCCACTGCTGTCCTTCCTCCCAGCCTGCAGCTGGCTCACTTAGCAGCGAGGCCTGTGCAGCTGGTGGCGCTCAGCGAGCCCAGCTCCCGCCTGCTCTGGCACTGGCTGCTTTGGCTGATGACTGGCCTTAGGCAAGGCTGACTCCACTCCTGCTTTGCAGATGTGGATATGCCACGCTGCACCATGTTATTGACAAGTCCAAGGAGGACCGGATGGAGAGCTTCTTTCTCAGCGAGACCTGCAAGTACCTGTACCTGGTACGTGTGTGGCGGGAGGAGCCATGTGCTGGGGTGCTGCTGCCACCCTCGCAAGAGGCAGTGTAAGCCGACCAGAGACGGGAACCTGTGGTGGCGAAGTGAAGTGTCAGAGGAGGGGACTGTGCCCTTGGTTCTAGGCACTCATGTGCATTGTCTGGGCTGAAACCTGGGCCCAGATGGTCCATACTCACCTGCCCGTGGGGCTGACCGGGAGGGCACCGTGGCCTGCCCAAGGTCCTGAGTGGGTTGGCTGAGCTAGCATGTGTTCCTGCAGGGACTGCTGTCCAGCCATGTGTGGTCCTGTGCCCATGGCTGCTTAGGCTCTGTATGCAGCTTGGTGCAGGTGCCTGGGTTGGCACAGAGGTGCCAGCAGGGCTGGGGTCCCCAGACAGGAGCACCTTTTCCCGGCTTCTGGCAGCACGCTTGGGCCTCTGGACTTGAGCTCAGAGAGGCACTCGGTAGTGGCTCCCGCGGGCCTGTGTGAGGTGGCCTCTGGAGCTACTGGCTGCTTCTGCAAAAACCAGCATAATCTGGGCTACACTGTGCAGAAACCCATGGGGGGTGTATGGCCGGGTGTGCAGGGGGAGAGGAAGGTATCCACAGAGTACAGCTGCTTCCTCAGGGTGTCAGCTGCCTGTCCCCTCAGGGTGTCAGCTGCCTGTCCCCTCAGGGTGTCAGCTGTGTCAACTGGTTCAACAGTGTAAAAATTCCAGAGTGAAACAGTTGATCAGCTTTAGGTGGCCTGTGTGACCGTGTGCTGCTAGGTGTGGCCTATTTTGGTCCCTGGTGGTCTGTGACAGTTGCTGGTAGCCTGTGAGACCATGTGCTGCTAGGTGTGGCTTGTGTCCATCCCTGATGGCCGGTGAAGGTCCCTGGTGGTCTGTGATGGTCCCTGGTGGCCTGTTTGGGTCCCTGGTGGATTGTGTGGCCATGTGCTGCTAGGTGAGTTCTGTCAGACTGCCCAGGGAGAGTTGTGTTGCTCGGTGCTTCCCAAGGCTCCAGTGTTCCCTGTGGGTCTTAAATGCAGGCCCAAGGAATGATGGGGCTCCTGGATTCAGGCGAGGCTGAGCACCTGTCCCCCACCTTGCCCCATGCTGTTTTGTTCCTGTTTGCACCTGCTCTGCCTGCTTGTTCCCCCTGGTGCGGGAAGAGGCTCAGCCTCATGGGCCCTCGAGAATCAGCCCGGGCTGGGTTCTGACATGAAAGCTGAGTGTTCAAGCAGGTGTTCTGGGCTCCGCCGGGGTGTGCTGTAGTGTGCACTGTAGGGTCTGCAAGTCAGGGAGGGGGCCTGGTGTGCTGCAGAAGTTCCAGGACGCCCGTACTGGGTTCGTGACCTGGGCTGGGTGTGGCTGGCGGAGGGAGGGAGGCGAGGCCGCTCTGTGGCTCGGGATCCTGGTGTGGCTGCTAACCAGTTGCGTCTTTTCTCCTGGCAGCTGTTTGATGAGGAGAACCCGGTGCACCAATCTGGGACAAGGTACATGTTCACCACAGAGGGCCACATCATGTCTGTGGACAGGCACCTGCGGGAGCTGCCCTGGAAGGAGTTCTTCCCTGAAGATGGGGGCCCTGCCCAGGAGGCGGCCACGGGGCCCAGGCCCAAGGCCCAGGAGCTCAGGGTCATTAACTCGAGCGCCAACGTGAGTCATGGCTTCTGGGCCAGCCAGGTGCGAGTGCAGGTGGAAGAAGTGGGGAGGTGATGGGGGAGAGGGGCGTGGTGTAGTGGGCAGTGGGCAGCCTCTGTAGAAACCCACTGGCCTGCCACCCGGTTGCCCGCTTGGGGATGCAGCCAGTGGATGGGGTTGCGGGGGGATCCTGGGGATGCCTGATGCGGAGGCGGGGTGGTGGGGTCCACGTGTAATTGGTGTCTTTGGTTGCTTGATTCTTCTGGCAGTGAGGATGAGGGTGGGCCCTGTGTTAGGTCTCTGGTCTGTCCTTGCACGGGGCAGTGTGCTGGATGGCACCGCAACGCCCTGTTGCCTGCCTGCAGACTGGGCCTGGGGTCTTTGTGCCCCCTGAGAGCTCCCCACCGTGGATGGCCTTGGTGAACTTGACAGGCCGGCACCTGCAGTCTCCCTCGTTCCCTTGGGCCTTCGAGTGTGGGGATGTCAGTGCAGGGCCAGGCGTGCTTTCCATGCCTCTGGCCATGGCGGCTGTTGGTTGGAGCTCCGACAACCCAGGCAATGTGCCAGGGAAGACTCTGGGTGCCAACCTCGTGGATGGAGCCGACTCCGCCTCTGCTCCCAGGAACTAAAGCACACGGACCCAGAGGTCTGGGGATAGAATTGGAAGGGGTCACTGTCCATGCTTCTAGTTGGTGGCCCCCACACCCTGGGCTGGGCGCAGGTCATACTGAGGTCGAACACACTGGGTGGAGGCGAGATGTCTCTTAGGAATGACTCACCAGGGTCTCAGGATCCATGGCCCCTCTGAGGGGAGGATCTGCCTCTGGTGAAATGAGACCCCCAAGGGTTTGCTGGCCACCGGTCCCGGTGAGAGGTTGAGGCTGTCCCAGTCCCCTGGTAAGGCCAGTGTGGCCCTGCTTTGGGCTGGCATGTGCCTGCTCCTGCCGGGCCCTGGGCTGAGGCCAGTGTCTGCACCTTGTCTTACAGTGCAACCGCGTGCCGGACGAGCGCAGGTACGCGCTGCCCCTGAAAAGCGTCTACATGCGGCAGATCGACCAAATGGTTGGCCTCATCTGACGACCTGCCTCCACCTCCTCGCCGGCCACACGGGACCAGTTGGAGCCAGGCTCACACAGGCAGATGGCTGCAGGGCAGACTGGCCATGGCTGCATGGGAAGTGCTGTCTGGCCCCCGGCCCGGTGTTCCCTCTCTGTTCAATAAATGCCCTGTGTTCCTCAAGGGTGCGGTGGAGATGGGGAGGGGGTCGGGCACAGGCCGTGTCCTCACAGGCTCTCCAGCCCCCGCACAGGCCTGCGCTCACGGGGGCCCCGCTCACAGCACAGCCCGTGCTGTCTAGCTGCTTTCCTACTGGACTCTCCCCCAGCTGGCCTGCCCTGACCTGCTGGGATGGGAGAACAGTCCCAGTCAGTCCTTGATGCCTGGGAGCCTCATGGTGTGGCAGGTTCTCCAAGAGGCGGGTGGTGTGTTGGCAGAGCCGTGGTCCCCCGTGAGGCTGTGGTGAAGGACCTGACTGGCAGGGATAGAGCAGGCCTGAAAGCAGGTGCCTTCCTGGGGGAGCAGCGCTAAGGCTGGCCAGCAACTTGTGTGCTGTCCTGGCTGCAGCCGGGGCCAGGTGGGGCTGTGTGCCAGTTGCTGCCACATGCTGTGCCAGTCAGGGTAGGTGGGAGGAGGCTGGCACAGGTGCCTCCTGGGCCTCAGGCCTGCATGAGTGCCTTAGGTGGGCTTTGGTGTGGGCCCCTGTGCAGTGTGACAGACTTGTCGGTGTCGAGCCCTTGGTACAAGGGCCGTGAGTGTGGATGTGAGGGAGGAGTTAGGAATATTCTGGAAACTGCTTGGTCTTTCAGACAGGTACTATGGGCATGGACTTGGAGGAGGAGGTAGCTGTGCCAGAGCTGGAACTCCTCTCTGGTTCCTGCTCTCAGCTGGGACGGAAGGTGTTTTTGAGCCTAGGCCAAGAGTGCAGGTGTCCGTCGGGCACAGCTGGCCTGGGCCCCTCCGGCACCTGCAGCCTAGCACACTGTGCTTCCGTTGGCACTGCCGATGGCCGTGGAGTGGAGCTGTCTGGTACCTGTTGTGTTGAAGGCTTTCTCTTGTGAGCGTTGGTGTGGGTCACCGTGGGCGGCGGTGGCATTACCCACCCCTCGGGCTGCAGCCCCCTCTCCTGTGTGGAGACCTCAGACCACCTGCCGAGTGAGAACGTCCCACACGCGTGCCTGTGCCTTCCCCAGGGGAACCAGGTGGGCCTCCAGCCTCGGGACCCGTATGTTCCGTATGAGCCCCTTGGCTTGCGGGTGCCAGCTGCACAGTGCTGGGCGAGTGTCTGTCCAGGTCTTGAGCGGGTGCTGTGAAGGCTGTGGTCTCTGCAGTTGGTGGTGCCACAAGAAGTGGGCTCGCTTCCCCCGTGATAGCCTTGCAGGCCGTTGCTGAGGAGGGCATCCCACGGTGTCCTGGCAGTGCAGCTTTGCCTGGGGATGGCTGCGTGATCCCACTCATGGCTCAGGCGGATCGGCCAGGCAGCTTTAGGTTGGGCTGCTGGGGTCTCCGACACTGTCCGTGTGCTCAGGTGGCCCTGCTGCTGCTCATCAGGGGCCTGGCCAGGCAGATGCTGGCAAGTGCGCTGGCTGTGGGGTTGCCAGCCTCGTGGGGGCCCCTGGCTGTGTGTGGGCCTGGCTTTCTGCTTGTTTGCAGCTCTCCCACCAGAACTTGCCCTTGGTGGCCAAGGCCACGGGTCCTCACAGTGCCCTGGGCCCGCTCATCCCGCCCTGTGTATGGGCTGTGCTGTGTCGCTGGGGTTGAGTTTCGGGATGGTTGCCCGGGCGGGGCTGTGGCTGTGTGGTCCTTCTCCCAGACTCCAGGCCACTTGGTTGCTGTGTGGCCAGTGGCGGCTGTCTGTCCCTGCTGTGAGTCTTGTGGTCCTGGCGTGCATTCCTGCTCTCAGGGCTGGCCCTCCCTCTCCAGCTCCTGTCCCCACCAGCGTCCTGCTTCCCCAGGGGTCTGGCACTCAGGGCTGGCCCTCCCTCTCCAGCTCCTGTCCCTGCCAGGGGTCTGGACGGGTCCCTGCACCCTCCCCTCTCCGAGAGGTGGGGAATGATCGTTTCAATGTGTTTGGTTTTAATTCAGCAAAACATGAGCTGCATTTTATTTATTGTGCACAAGGAAGGTGATTCTGGGCAAACTCGCTGAAGTACTCGAAGGCTTTTGTGTCATGTGCAATATGCTTCGCAAGTATAAATGATACTTGATGTTTAATCTGTAAATAAGGAATATTTAAATTAAAAGGGAGCTTGTTTTGTAAAAGGACCAAATGTTCTTTTATAAAAATACTAAAAAATTTACTGCTCTTTGAAATTTGTTAGCATTTTTATGAGTAATTTTTATTAAAGATTCTTTGCTTTGGGTCGTCCTGTGTCTCCTTTCTGTGCTTAGGGAAGCCCCAGGCCTGCAGGGCAGGGTTCAGACCCCTGAAATAGGAGGGCTCCCCCTGAGGCATAGGAAGGAACTGCAGCTGTCAGGTACATACCTATCAGCAGGTGCTTAGTGGCAGGAATCCTACCCATCCCAGTGCAGGCTGCTGCAGCCTGAGGTTTCTGTGCCCTGGCCCTGCTGGTACCAGCGTCACAGTGTAGGCTGCCCTGAGGAGCTGAGAAACTGGAGGATCTCCCTGGCCAGAAGCCATCAGACAGAGCTGGAAGCTCGCCCTGCCCAGCTTCAGTCTTGGGGTGACAGTGGCCTTGGGAGAAAATGAGCCCAACTAAGCCAAGGCTGGTTTCCTGCCAGCCAGCGCTGGGCTGCAGGGTGAGAGGGGCCCTGCTCTCTAGCAGCAGGACTGGCCCCATGCGCTGGGAGGTGCAAGGGCAGACAGGGCCTGTCTTGTGCTTCCAAAAGCTCCGTGTCATGGGCGTCCTTCCCCGAGTCATCCTGCAGTCCAGAAGAGCCCAGGCAAGGTTGTAGGCAGAGGTCTCTGCACAAGGCTAGGAGTGCTGTCAGCGCAGGCTTGCTCCAGTGGTCGTTGTGCCCCTGTGGGGTGGGGGACACAGGTGGTCCTTGAGTAGGGTAGGGACTCTGATTCTACCACAGGCCTGGAGGCCGCCCTTGAAGGCACCTCTTGGAGCAAGGCTGCAGTAACTTGGACTCACAGGAATGGATGTGAGGTGATAAATGTTGGGGTTTGTGGAAGAAGGGGCAGGGTGGACCAGAGCTGCTTTGGAGGCCTGTCCAGGGAGGCTGGGGTGCGGAACTGAAGATGGGCTGCAGGACCCCGTCTCTGCCTGCCAGGACACTGTCTCGCTAACCCCTCGTCTGCTGCCCTTCCCTCCACCCGGCTCCTCCTGGGGACGTGCTTCCTGCAGGCCAGGTCTCGCTGGTCCATAGCTGCTGGCATTTGCTGTTGTCTCTGTGCCAGGGAAGCACCAGGCTGCACAGGTCGGGAGGATGGGAGGGCTTGAAGTAGCACCAGGGAAGTGATGACATTCCCACTGCTGTGGGAAGCAGTGCCAACCCACGTCCTGAGCCTGCCACCATCATCAGGAACCTCAGCTCTTGGCCTGCCTGACCGTGACTGCATGGCAGGGCCCTCTGGGCTGGCATCTGAAGCTGCAATTAGGAAGCTTAGTGTGTCTGTTTTGGGGGCTTCCCACCTTGCTCTCGCGGTGTAAATGTCTTCTTGTTTAGTTAAAGGTTTCCTTTTAATATTTGGAATTGGTGGGACTGACATAATGGCTCAGTTGGCCATTATAGTCATGCGCCAGGATCCCATATGAATACTGGTTCATGTTCTGGCTGCTCCACTTCCCATCCAGCTCCCTGCTTGTGGCCTGGGAAAGCAGTTGAGGATGGCCCAAAGCCTGGGACTCTGTACCTGCGTGGGAGACCTGAAAGAAGCTCCTGGCTATGGAACAGCTCAGCTCTGGTCATTGCAGATTTGTGATCTTTTTTAAATTTTAATTTTTTAAAAAAGATTTATTTATTTTTATTGCAAAGTCAGATATACAGAGAGGAGGAGAGACAGAGAGGAAGATCTTCCATCCAATGATTCACTCCCCGAGTGACTGCAATGGCCGATGCTATGCCAATCTGAAGGCAGGAGCCAGGAAGTTCCTCCAAGTCTCCCATGTGGGTGCAGGGTCCCAAGGCTTTGAGCTGTCCCCAGAAGGCTGCAGTGGCTGGAGCCGGGCAGCTCAGAAACCAGAAGCCAGGAGTTGCTTCTGGCCTCCCACATGGGTTCCCTGGCCCAGGCACGTGGACTGTCTTCTGCTGCTGCCCAGACATGATAGCAGGGAGCTGGATGGAAGTGGATTGCAGTCATAGGATGCGGCATGGCAGGCTATGGCTTGCCTTGCTGTGCAGGGTTCCGGCCTCACCAAGGTTTGTTTCTAAAGGGAAATCCAGATGGAGGCACCTGGGTGAAGCTCTTCTTGGGGAGCTTAGGGGCGAACACTCACTAGGCCATGGGTTCTGGCTTCTGCCAGTTTTGCTGGGTGTCAGCAACCCAGCAGGGCCACTCCCTGTTGAGAGGTGCCAGGTCTGCTGCCATCCTTCCATGTGTTGGTTACACTGGGCACTCCCTGAGCTTGCAGCGAGACGCTGGTACTACCTTCAAGACGTCTGCATCTTTTGCCAGCAGCAGGGCAGCACGGCAGACAGTATCTCGTGACAGAGATGTTCCCCTTCTCCCACTGGGCCTGGCCAGGCCTGACCTCAGCATCCGTGGGCACAGCTCCCGAGAGGTGCCAGGCTGGGGCTGGCACACAGAGGAAAGCCTCCAGCCTTTCTCACCGTCTCAGGACAAAGCTTTCTTTCCCTCCTTATTTCCTTCTAAATAGTCTCTCGTCTAGGATACCCTGAAACTGCATTTCATCGCCTGCTGTGCCACTTTGAGGAGTGGGGTGGCTCTAGAAGCTCCTCGGGGGTTCTGGCCAGCTCGCTGGAGGAACCAGCCTACGTTGTGCTTCACGGACCTTTCCCCCGGGCCAGACATCGATGGGAGCCAGCACCTGGAACAAACGGGCAGTTGTGAGTTTCAGCAGGCAGCCTGTGGGTTGTACCCATGAGGGTCTGAGCTCTTGGGGTGGGACATTTTCTTGATGCCAGTGGGTGGCTCCCAGGCTCCATGAGGACTCATACCTATTTGCTTGGCATCTCCTGTCCCTGCACCTTGAAATGGGCAACAAAGGCAGCCCAAGTGACCACCCAGAACAAAGTCTGGGATTGGATGGGGC